CCCCAAAACCCCAAAACCCCAAAACCCCAAAACCCCATTTTATTTCCAATAAATTGACATTATTAAATTTATTATGGAGATAACGAATAAAGAGAACATTCAATTATATGTTCGGGTTAAGCCTATCAAGATATCCCAGAGAAGAGATCGAGGTCTGTATATTTACTAATTATATTTTTTGTAATATTCTTAAATTATATTCCTCAAAATTCATCTTAACTTTGCAACTGTCAAAAAGTCTAACATTTATGTAGCATTTCAGAAGAAGAGAAGGGAAGAAAATATTGGCAATGATCTTGATGATGTTTATTCAGAACACAGTGATCCTGAAGAAACCTTACATGTTTATGATAAGAATAAGATACTTCTGCGCTCAACGGAGATCAACAAATCATATCAATTCAAGAAGGTGTTTGATCAAGACAGCACTCAGTTAGACGTATTTGAAAATACTGCAATACCTCTCATCGATCACTGTCTGCAAGGATATCATGGTGTTTACTTTGTCTATGGACAAACTGGAACGGGCAAAACTCATTCTATGGGAACTATTGACCTTCTGAACCCATATTCTGAAGGAATTGTTCCTAACACTTTGAAGTACCTCTTTCAATATACTGATGAAAACAGTACGAGGTTCTGCAAATTCAGGATTCATCTCTCGCTCTACCAAGTGTATATGGATCAAGTTCAAGATTTGTTCAACCCTGAAAATAAGTCACTAACTGTCAGAGAAGACAAGAACGATGTGTAATTATATTTCTTTTAGGAAATGAATCATTTGCGTCAACCTTTTTTAAAGCTTTAATCAGAGGAATATTACTCGACCTTCCTAGATGAAACAATAGAGCCCCTCAATCTAAGTCTTCTAGGTTGAAAAGAAAGGGATAAGGACTATAAAGGTTCCACTAAGTGACAACCCTTCTGGTTACTGCAGGGTATGTTCAGGTATCAGAACACTTCTAGCCATTTCATACCCCCTAATAAAGGTCACATCCCTCTCTATCTCTTCCAAGTGTATCTCCTTACCGGCCTGCTGTTCCTTTTATCTGATCAGTCTCCAAAATACCCCCTTTACATGTCAGAAATCCAATCACTCTAAAAAGTATTAATGATTTTACACAAGACTTTCCCTCCTTTTCTCTCTGTATGCCTCTGTTCCTCTCTATGCTAGATTCCTTTGAGGTATCTCCTGGGCCTTACAGGACACTAGGAAACAGACCTTTAATCAACCGCTACTTATTTAGTCAATAACCGAAGCCTATTGCTAGACTTTCACAGCCTAAGCTTGTCCTCTTGCTCAGGGATTCCTCTTTAGCCTACCCGAGTACTTCAATATATCCATTTCCTCTAGTTCACACACCGAACACTGGGCCTGGCTACTATACTTAATCAGGAAAAGTTTGATTGAAGCCAATGCATTTTTCAATACTAAATACTAATCAATCGTCATTTGGAGCTGAGACCAAGGACCTATGATCTCATTAATATTAACAAGTATATATAGGTACATCGAAGACCTGATCGAAGTGCATGTCAAAACCATGAACCAGGCGATAACAATCATCAATGCTGGCCTTGCTCATAGAAAAATGGGAGCTCAAGGACTCAACAGTTCTTCCAGCAGAAGTCACACTTTATTAAACATTGACATCTATCAGAACATGATAAACAATGATCATGTCCAAAGTGTATCATCCCGATTGACTCTGGTTGATCTTGCTGGTTCAGAAAGAGTCAGAAAGACAAAAGCTAGTGGGAAAAGACTGAAAGAAGCTCAGAGTATTAACTCGTCACTGTCTGCACTTGGAAATGTCATCCTGAACCTGTCTAAAGGAGAAAAGTTCATCTCATTCAGAGAAAGCAAACTCACAAGGATCTTGCAGAACTCGTTAAAAGGAGAAAGCATGATTGCACTCTTAGCGACTGTCAGTAGCAAAGAAGACGATACACATGAAACTTTGTCAACTCTTCAGTTTGCGAACAGATGCAAACAAGTTCTGATCAACCCTGAGGATAATGTTTCAATTGAACTATTTAAAAACACTCCAGACAAGTTGATGAACAGCAAGATCGAAGAAATAGAAAGCCATTATCAGAAAAGAGAAGTCATGCTACTCAGTCAGATTGAAGACTTGGAGAAAAAGATATCAACCATCAGCAACAACTCTCGTTTGAATCAAGTTGCCATCAGCTATGTTGATCAACAGAGTACATCATCTCACTCAATAGGCTTCAAGCCTGACTTCGACATTGAAGAAATCACTAAAGCTCACCCAGAAATGACCACTCGAAAGTTCAAAGCAACTATAAAATAAACAAGAAAGATACATAGAATACCTGAACAAGCTATTGTTTGATGTAATTGATGAATCCACTTTCGTCATTTCTTCGAACTGAAATTCACCACTTGAAGCAAGAAACCTGAGAAAATAAAATTGTTGAAAACCTTGACAACTTCGAGGGCGAAGTTGAACTTGAAATCGACCAGGATGATATTCTAGAGATTGATGACCACAGACACCAGTCTAACGCATTCATCTCTAAGACTCATGAGAACATCTTGTCCAGGTTCAAGAATTTAGATAAAATTTATGAAGCTCAGCAAGAGTCCGCTTCAAAGTCACATTTAGTGCAAGATCTTATTGAAGACTTTATCACTCTTGCCAACAAGATGAAGCAAACAGATCTTGCACTCCAGCAAATTGAGATCATGAAAGAATCATCTCGAAGGCAAGGCCTTGAACATAATCATATAGGCAAACTTACATGTTCCAGAATATCTTTGGAGATGATTTCATCTCTAGAATGAGGTCCAGGATTGACACTAAGTCATTTCTTAGTGCAAAAGTGGTTGATGATCCAGAACCTGAAGTTCCAGATGATCTTGAAATTTCAAATGACTCTGACTCACTCAAGATTAGCCTTGAAAGAGAATCACAAGATCTAGTCAAACCCTTATTTGATGAGAAAGAGACCCAAACTGATATCAAAGGGATTCAAACTGAACTTTCTGCTAAATCGGGACTTAGAAAGAAGAGATCTTCAAGAATAATTAAAACCACTCGAAAGGAACCTTCAAGAGACTTGATTGAAGCTTTAGAAAAAACCAAGAAAGAAAAGCAGAAGCTTGAAAGGACACTTCTTGAGGATTCCAAAGAACAGGCGACTGCAAATAATCTGATCCTTCTCTCAATGAAATATGTTGAAAAACAATGAAGTGATTATCTGAATTATTTCCTCAGCAAAGACTCAAAGGAAGGTAGTTTGAATAGAAACAGCAGATCAGATCATGATAAACCTAATATTTCGAACGAGGATATATCTTTGAAGATACAGAGAGAAGCAATTGCATCTTCAAGTGCAAGCAAACTTGAAAAGCAGAGCATGCTCCAGAAACTGGTTCAAAATTTTGCACAAAAGGAGCTGGATGAGCCTAAAAAGGCTAAAAAGAAGAAGATCATCACAAAGATGATGAAGGTAAGATCATCTCCTGAAGCTCCAAGAAGCTTTTCACGTCAAAATTCATCACGAAACAACTTTAAGTCATCAAGACAGAACACTCTTCTTCCAAAGGCAGGTTTGCCACCTTTGTCAAAATCCAAGGCTGTTCTTATAAAAGACTCCTCACCAAGAAGGAATAAATACAAGTCGAGATCAAGTTCTCGAGGAAGAAGTTCATCAAGATCTCGCTCAAGGTCTCGTTCGGGATCTCCTCGTAGGAAAAGATCAGGGTCAAGATCCCGCTCAGGGTCTCCTGACAAGGCGGATAGAGAAGACCTATCAGTGAGGAGTACAAAGTCGAAAGGAAAAAGGAAAGTCATCAGAAGGTTTATCAAGAAAGTCAAGAAATAGAAGGAATAAGTCTTTCAATGTTGACTCTGCCTTAGGGGTTTTGGGGTTTTGGGGTTTTGGGGTTTTGGGG